AAGCATCTTCTAAAATTTCAGTAAGTCCTCTGATATTTCCCTATCAGGTTCTTTAAATGTGAACTGAACAACATTTAGTCTAGGGTAAACTTAGACCTCTGCTAAGACAACACCCTCTAAGTTCTCTCTATTCCTGCGCTCTTTTAGCTCTAGTCACCTAGGTGATAGATTACCAGGTCCATTTTGCCCACTCAGTGTGTTCGTTGAGATTTTGGCTTCTGCCTCCCTGAACTTCAGTAAAGAAATTCTTTCCAAAAAGTAATCTAGGGGCAGGACATGGCTCACCTGATTTTGCCTCTTTCAGTGGTCACTGTTCTGTGCAACCTTATGATTAATATCTGACAAATGGTGTTTCATATATTTTTGTCTAGATTTTTCATTGTTTTGGGTAAAAGGATCAACTCAGCTATCATTACTCCATCTTATCTAGAAATAAAAGTGCAAGGGGCTTCCCATTCCCAGATACATCTTCTCATGCATGATAACTCATTTCATTTGTTTATTTTTTATTTTAAAGAGAAAAAGATAAACAATGAAACCAGCTTTCAGAACAGGTTAGTAGGGCAGTTATAATAGTTGACACATTTGCATATTGTCTTCATAGAAGTTAAACAGAGTACAAGACACAGGCATGGTATCGTGTCTAAACATTAGCACAAAACTTTCTTTTCAAGGAACTAAGAGAAACTAGCTGCATAATTGTCATAACTACCTCTTGTATACATATTTCTTTTCTTTTTCCCTTTCTTCTTTTCCCTTTTCAACCATCACAGTTTGTCTTTCCTTTTGAACAGTTTCTTCCCAGTTCACAATATCTATTGTACATTTTGGATCCTATCTTCTTGTTTAGTTTCTCACACTAGTGAGACAATATGATGTCTGCACATATAGGTCTGATTTATTTCACTTATGAGTATGGTCTTGGGTTGCACCCATTTATCTATAAAAGTTTCCAGTTTATCCTTTTTATGGCTGAGTAGTACTCCCTTATATATATTTTTAAAAACCCACATCTTTTTTATCCATTCCTCGGTTGATGGGCATTTAAGTTGTTTCCAAGATTTAGCTATTACAAATCGTGCTGCTACAAACAAAGGTGCGCATATAGCACTGTGGTATTATGTTTTTGATTTTTCTGTGAAGGGGGATACACAGAAGGGGGATACACAGAAGGGGGATAGCTGTTTCAAAGGGGACTTCTAAACCTAGTTTTTAAAGGAATCTCCACATTGATTTCCACAGTGGTTGCACCAGTCTACATTCCCATCAACAGTGGAGAAGGATTCCTTTCTCCTCACAGCCGCTCCAGCACTTGTTATTGGTTAATTTTTTGATGATAGCCATTCTTTCTGGAGTGAGATGGAAGCTCAGTGCTGTTTTAATTTGCATTTCTCAAAGGACCGATAATGTTGAACACTTTTTCATGTACTTACTTGCCATTTGTATTTCCTTTTTTAATATGCGTTCAATTGTGATATTGAGACTAATGTTAACTCTTCAACTTTAACCTAAATTACTTAATATCCTTAGTGGAAATGGGTTTGTTTGCTTGTAACTCATGAGATTGGACTAGATAAGTATGTCTAACATTTTAACTCTTCTTTGAAATGAAAAATTCTCTCTGAAGGTGATTCTCAAGATGTGGTGGTGGGGACCGAGAATATCTTTAAGGGATGAAATAAGGAAGATGGTATACTTTAGAAAATTCATCTGCAATGGGACACACCCATACTTTCCCCTGACATTCAGGAGTACAAGACTCAATTCTAGGAATATCTATCGAGCAATTTAAATACACATGGAACCTTAGGCTGTAACTCCTTAATAGGTCCCTCTTGCATATCTCTGTCTTCCTGAGAAACCACTCTGAAGATACCACCACGTATTACAGCAGCCATTGATATTTTCCTACTAATATATCCATAACTGTGTAAAGTTTGTAATGTTCCTATCCTATTTCATAAATGGATGTATGTTTATTATTATGTGTTTCCTACAACAACCGTTGAGAAGAGTTAATGATTTTTCAGTAGGTCACTCATGTATAGCTCTATTTATTTTCTTTAGAAGCCACTTTGAAGATACCAAAGTATAGTACAACAACTCTTGATAATCTCCTACCTCTTTTGTCTGTAACTCACTATTATTTGTCTATTTGTTTTCCTGAGAAACTATTTTGTAGACAATAATATGTAAAATGATAACCATCGATAATTTCCTACCATTTTGTCTGTAATTTGCTAAGACCCCCCTATTATTATGTTATCCTTCTTTTATTCTTTAAAATAAAAAAAAAATACACATGGAACCATGTTTAGCGATGGGGCAAAAGTTAATAGGTTGAATTTCACATTCTCAAGTAGTATAGGGTATATAGCGATAATAATTAAGTTTCTATTTCTAAAAGGTTGTCTGAAAAGTATTTTAGCAGTTGGATTAGTGCATAATTCATGCCAAAACAGTAGACTATATTGCACTAATAGATTCATCTCTAGGACCTCAGATTTTAAAAAGCATAGAAATGCAGGGATATATAATGTGGTACTTTGCTTTGCCAGCTAAAATCTGGAAGAATTCCTTAAATTTCTGGTAACTGGCAGAGATTCCAATTCTTAGAAAATGGTTATAGGTTTCTTTTCTTGTATTTTTATATTTTACAAATTCATTTTTCGTGGCAATTCTAAGTCTCAAACTATTTTAAATATATCAAAAAGATCCATACATCTATTTTGTAAACATTCACAGTCAATGGTATTTATCCATAAATTATTGATAGAAACATAGGAGATAGTTTGTCTATGTTATGCATTAGAGACAGTTAAACACTGATACCATTTTTTAACAGTGAACTAGAATAGCTCAGTAATTTTCCCACCTAGTAGACTTTTAATTTCTAACCCACACCGTCTAATGCAATTAATGCATTTATGGATTATCTGCCCCAGACTGTGAAACAGTTGGTCCAGAAAAACTATTAATCACTAATTACTGTAGATTCTTTCTGAAAAATCATTTTCAATGTGCAGACCCAGGGGTTTCTAATCTAGTGAAAGGATTTCCAAGTGGGCTGTACAGTTCTTCAGCCAATCTATACAAACTGATGACTATGTAGTTAGCTGGCATTGAAATTTAATCAAAATCATATGTGCATAACCACAGGCTTACAGATTTCTACACGTTTTCTGGATGTGAATGAAAAGAATTGCTCCAGTATGAGCTGGCAGCAGATCAGGTTCACACTCTGACCAAAGCCCCACTGTCACACCCTGACTTTCTCATGCTTACTGTACAAGTGTACTGTTTGCCCTATGTCCTGCTTCATGTTTTATAATTTTTAATTGTTCTTTATAAATATAACTGTTAAGTCTTTTAAAAGAATTTAGCTTCTTAGGAGAAACAAGGCCAATTTTGTGCTGTAACCATGTGTCAAATAAAGATTTGTACCTGGTACTTGCTGTCCTGCGCCCAGAAGATGTTCTGTCTTCAGTGTGCATTTGAATTACTTAAAGAAGTCGTTAAAGTTGATTCTCTAAATCTGCCTCAGAAGATTCTGATTTAATAATGCTCGTGGGGTCCACGAGCTTGAATTTTAACAATTTTTTCAAGTGTAATTCCAATAAAAGTGGACTACAGATTACTTTTAAGAAAATATGGGATAGACTTCGGTTTTCCAAATTCTCCTTAGCACTTTGTATTATCTTGCGTGAAATTTAAATGTGATCTTTTATTGAAAAAGGTACTAGCACCCCAATTTTGATATTTTAAATAATAATAAAGTTTCTTTTTCCTGCCCTTCACACTTGTCTATTGAATTTAGTTTTCTGACACTATGATATTGCACAGAATAAAGGAATATGCCAGTAGACGCTCCACAGGAAAAAAAAAATTCAAGATTTCTTTGTAATGCTTAATGCTATGACAAATATGCATCCCTCCCTCCTTTCTGGATTATACATAGTGACTCCCCCTAACCCCTGACAAAGTACCCCTGGCCTCTTCCCCTACTAAGTCCTTCCTCCCTGTGGTGGGAGAGTTGCCTGGTTAGCAAGTGACATGGGGTCAGATATCTCAGTTAGGGGAGGATAATACATTAAGTCCATATGTAGTGGGGAGTTAGTGTTTCCTTACTTCCCCCCTCCCTGTGTAAAGCAGGAACATTAGGCGTGACTGTTCTACAGGGTCACTTTCCTTGGGTGACAAGACTGGACTAGGTACAGAGCAGAAAAAGTACTTGCAAGTCAAGTTCATCCTTAGTTTTACCCAATAGCTATAAACAATAAAAGTGATATTTTAAAAAATTCCCATACCTAGCTCCTGTTACAGCTCTTATTTTTTCTCAACTAGGATGGGGAAAAGGGAATGTTATTTATTGAACCTCATCCTGTAGACCTCAAATCTCAGCAAACTGAAGCACAGTGATGCATTTTGCGTGTTTCTTTTTACATGAACCTTTCTATCAACCAGTCTACTTACATGACCTTGTAAACTTCTGTTCCTATCAAGTTCTTCCACTACTAAAGGAAAATCTAAACTATTTGAAAGAGTATCCTAAAACTGAAAAAGGCTCCATACTAGTAGGGGTATATGCATGACTCTGTACTTGCACTAAGCAATTTAAACCAAGGCACCAAACTCTAATGAATTTCTGGCAACTAGGAGGAAGAGAAGCTTGTGTACAGAACGTTCTCATTTTATCTTGCGTTGTACTTCTGAAGCCAACTCTGAGACAACCAGACCAGAGCTGTGTTAAATAACTCCCCAAAGAAATCCCAGTCTTGCTTCATGTTGTTGGAAGTCATTTAAATTACATATATATTCTGATAACACTTCTTAGCCGCTCTCCCTCTTTCGCTAGCATTTCCACATAACAGAAGCTTTCCTCTTATCCCAGGAACTTGCTCACCATTGTGTCCTTCCAGAGAGTGCCGCCAGCACCCTGCATGTCCAGTAGGGTGTGCTCTTCTTCTTGGATGACTTGTGTATTTTGCTCTTCTCCACAGGAATGGATGCCACGAAGCCAATGCCCAATGATTCTCCTCAGGAAATGAGTGTGAGAAGGTAGTGAAAACAGGGTGTGGGTGGCAAAGAAGGTCAGTGGAAAACTGTAAGCATCTAAACTTTAGTAATCTTGTTTTATTGCCTCTACACCAGGGAAAGTCACCAGAGAACTGCATGTTCCTCATTAGCACAGCTGTCTGTTTTCACTGAAAACTTTTCATGAGTTGCAAGTTTAAAGTTTTGTATTCACTTTGATAAAGCACAAAATGTTTTCCCAGACTTTTAAAATGATTACCCATCCCTATGATTTCAGACACTGTGGGAGGAAGGCAGAAGGAGAGGTTTACCCAGGGATCTGGTGGCTGCAGCTGTAAAGTTTGCCTAGAGCACAAGAATAGATATAGATGAGTGCTTTTCAGATGACCTACAGATTACTCTGGGTGTTTTACCCTATAAAAGGAACATGCAGATCTTGTGTTCATTTATATTTTCCTCCCTACATATTCTGACTCCCTTGCATTTTCAAAAACAATGAGAAAAAAGTCTTTTTTCTTCTTTAGCAGATAAATAACAAAAAATTCATTAACAAACTTGAAAAATGCAGATTTTAATTTAATATGCAAATTTTCTCTTAGAGAAAATGATTATCTTAAATTTTCTTTTTGATTCCATTTTTCTTTCCATTCCCATCCCCTCCTTTCAAACTACCTTCCCCTCCCCATTCACAAAGCTCTGTTTACATTTTATCCATTTTTTCTCAATTTTTCTTTCCCTTTCTTCCTTTTTCCCTATCCCCTTCCTAGTTCCCTTTGCCTTTGAACAGTTTCTTCCTATTTTACAATATCTATTGTATGTGTTTGCTCTTACTGACATTTCAGTTTTTCACACCAGAGAGATAATGCATATTTACATATATATGTCTGCTTTATTTCACTTATGATTATGGTCTCAAGGTCCATCCATTTGGCTATGAATATCTCAATTTTATCTTTCTTTACAACTGAGTAATGCTCCACTGTATTTAAAAAAACATCATTTTAGCCATTCATTAGTTGATGGACATTTGAGTGGCTGCCAAGATTTAGCTTTTACAAATTGTGCCACTATAAACATTGGTGTGCATATATCACTGTGGTATGATGCTTTTAATTCTTACAGGAAGATACTAAGTAGGGGACTAGCTGGGTCAACTGAGACCTCTAATTCTAGTTTTTTGAGGAATCTCCACATTGACTTCCATGGTGGTTGCACCAGTCTGCACTCTCACCAACCGAGGACTCCCACGTTTTTCTGAACAGCATTTACTATTAGATGTTTTCTTGATGACAGCATTCTTTCTGGAGTGAGATGGAATCTCAACATTGTTTTAATTTGAACTTCTTGAATGACAAGTGATGTTCAACATTATTTTCATATATTTATTTGCCATTTGTACTTCTTCTGAGAAATGTCTATTCATCTCAGATTGCCAGTTTTGGATTAGACTTTTGAATGGGGAAGGTCTAATGTTTTTCATTTCTTTATATGTCCTAAATATTAGTTTTTTGTCTGAAAAACATCTTTCTTAAAGTTTTTTCCCACTCTGATCATTTCAATAGACATAGAAAAAGCACTTGACAAAGTCCAACACACATTCACCCATTCAAAAACTGTAAAGAAAATCAGAATAGACAGTCTTTATCTCAATCTAATAAAAGCTATCTATGACAAACCAAAGCCAACATATACTAAATTGTCAAAAACTGAGAGTTTTCCCTCTAAAATAAGGAACATGACAAGGACTATCACCACTTCTATTCAATACAGTTCTGGAAACATTGTCTAAAGCAAGCAGACATTAGAAAGAAATAACAGGAAAGAAAGAAGTTAGATTATCATTATTTATGGATGACAGAATACTCAGAACACACCAAAAACTCCACCAAAAAAACTTTTAGATTTAATAAACAGATTCAGTAGAATAGCTGGATACAAAATCAATACTCAAAAATCAATAGCTCTCCTGTACACAAATAACAAACTCACAGTGAGAAAAATTAGAGAAATAACACCCTTCACAGTAGCATAACAAGGGAAGTGAAAGATCTCTACACTGAACTACAGTACTCTGAAAAAGGAGATCAAAGAGGATATCAGAAAATGGAATGATATCCCTTGCTCTTGGGTGGGAAGAAGCAACATAGTGGAAAATAGCTATATTTCCAAAATTGCTAAACAGATTTAATGCAGTACCAATCAAAATACCATTAGCATACCTTACAGAATTAGAGAAAACATTCCTAAAATTTATTTGGAACCAAAAGAGAACTAGAATAGCAAAAGCAGTTCTGGACAAAAGGCAGGTCAGGAGCATCACAATCCTTGACTTAAAATTATACTACAAAACTATTGTGACAAAAACAGCATGGTACTGCCAAAAAACAGACCTGAGGATCAAGGGAACAGATTAGAAGATGCAGACACAACTATAATCACACTCGGCCACCTGATCTTTGACAAAGGGAGCAAACACATTCACTGGAAGAAAGATAGCCTGTTTAGTAAATGATGCCGATAAAACTGGCTCCCCACCTGCCCAAGACTAAAACTACACCCATGTCTATCACCATGCACTAAACTAAAGTCAAAATGGATTGAAGATCTAAATATTAAAAAAGAAACACTAAATCTGTTGGAAGACAGAATAGCTAGAACTCTGGAAAAAAAATCATTTTATTTTTGATTTCTCTTTCTCCACACTTTCTCTTCTCAGCCCCAATAGCAAATAAAGCATCAGAAAAGATTTTTTCCAGAGTTTTAAGAACATCAATCAGTTGCACAGTTGAAGGCAAAACATTACCCTTGAGGAGCATTTCTTAACGTACAACAGAATGCATGGTTATCCCTGGGCTGTGTTCAGAGGTGGGAATCTTCCCAGCTTCCATTCAGTTGTGTGTTTCTTCACTGGCTTTCTCATTCTTCCTCGAGGCTGTTAAGCAGTGGACCCTGTGACTGCCGTGAGAATAAGGAAAAAGTCACTTCCAGCCTTGCCCAAAGACACTGGAGTCCTCATTAAAGCTTAAACATTGGCTTGTCCTTTTAGGTCAAAAGTTATTAAATGTCTGCTGAAACCCAAACGGGGAATAAAGCTGTAAACAAGCCTGATTTCACTTCTGAGAAGCCTAAGTAAGCCCATCTCCACCCAGCTTCTTATCTGAAGCACACACTCATACATTTAACCGCTTTTTCTGAACTTCCCTTGTAGGAAGCCCCCTATTGGTGAAGTTGGATCCAGATGGTCATATAAGCTCTGTTTTTCTTGTTTTAAGGTGTAAATATGAAAAGAGGGAAAAAACAAACAGATACACCTGTGGAAGACCGGTCCAAATAACCTGAACTGCTGAAACATTGAGGTAAGTTTTAAAACTTAGACAAGGGTTGTGATTATTATCAGGCAGACATTTTGTGCAAATTTTTGTCTTGAAACAGATTAATACTGATGACTTTTTCCATGTATATAATATAAAAGAAAGTAAATATAGAAAATAATATCTTGCCAAGATTATTTTGTTTTAATAGATCAAAGTAGGGCTTACTAATTCCTATCAGTGTGTGCTCTGTAATATTAATATTTGTCTTCAGACCATAAAGCTGTTCCTTCCTTGGGAACCTAAAAGGTTTTCTGTGATATTTCCGTCCCTGATGAATCTGGACCTTTGATGCCCCGGCAGCTGGAGCTTCCCATCTTAAACTGTGTCTGTCTAAAAATACCCTACCGGCACAAAAGAACAATTGTGAGGTCACTACCTCCTAGTATGTCCATGAGGTTCACCTGAATTTTAACAAGAAGGACTGTTTGCAACCCATCTTACCTTCTATATCACAAAGGTTCCATAGGTAAGAACATAATGCAAAGAACCCAGAGTTTTTATTTCTCTACTTCTGTGGAGATACAGTGGTAGTGATGGTGGTGAAGATATGAAAGATTTCTGGGAGTGAAGTGAGTTGGAGCAGTGTGGGCCTAGCAAAGATGTCAAGAGACGGGGATGAGGGTTTAAAAGAAAAAGCAAGCAGCCAGAGCTGGAAGGGCAGAAAGGGGAACGGAACAAGTTAAAGACAACTGGTGCTACAAGTTGCTGCGATATGCATGCAGAAGCATTTCCCCTACTTCCTATGGTGCTTCTATTCAAATCTGCACTGGGCTCTGTGTTCGCAGAAGTGGATTTGTAGGTTTCTGGGGGGACTACGTAGGAGGGGGATTAGTGTGAAGTTGCCTTAAGGAACCCAGACATAATCCAGGTATGTTGGCATAATACGATCTATCTATCTACCTTCCTACTTATCTACACACAAAAATACATAAAAACAAGAAAACTGAACTAGCACAACATTTTCCTGCTATCTACATAGTATTTCAAAAATCAGGATCTCAGAGCAGTGATGAGTGAACGCATCAACTCATGATTTATTAGCATTGAAGGAAGCAGTTCAATTTCTGTCTTGAGTCATGGAATGGTCTCTAGTACTGTGTGATTGATGTCATTCCTCCAACACATTTATTGTTTTTGTGAAGATTTCCTCATTATTTCCTATATCTTTCCTTAGTTTCATTGGTAGAACTCTGCAGTTTCCCTTGCCTAAACATTTTGTCCCCTTCAGCAACACAATATAGTCAAGGGTATGGTTTTCCAGAGCAATGACAAAGATTCAGTTAGAGCTGCAGGCACTTCACAGGCTTAAATTTCAAAAGTCTGTGTGTAAATCAATTATTTTGAACTGCGGTTGCATTTTCCCCACTGAAACTATGTTATAAATTGTGTTGGAGACTTCATAAATCTTTGACCTAAATACTCTGTAAAATATGTTCTCTTTGCATGGGAGGATGAAATCTTTTTTTTTTTCTCTACTGAGGCCGGTATATATTTAGCTAGGTCAAATGAAACATGCCTTTGGAAATGTAACTCAAGTGAGGGAATGAAATGCTAGTTAATAAAAGAGTTTGGATTAGTACAGACAAAAGACATCTCTTGGTAAAGGGAGGGATTTCATCTTAGATGACCCTCTCTGGGGTTAGACTTGACTATACTGGAGCATTTCTCCACCACTCCCCCACTGCCCTTTACTTACAGTGAGGTGCAGCCGACAGAAAAGCAAGCAAGATATTGAAGGAGAGCAAGGAAGCAATAAGGTTAAGCAAATAACAGATTATACGCTGGAGAAGAGAAAGAAGCCCAGAAAGGAAACTATTTCCCTGATCACTAGACAAGCTGGGCACATAGGGTCCTCCAGCTGGAGAACTTATACCTTAAACCCCCTAGTCCAGAGAGCAACACTAAAGGATGAACAAACAAGAGAAAGAAAAACATGAGCAATAAAGATTTGGAGGACTATTTAGCAGTAGCTGGAATCATATAACTCATACAAAAGGTAATGTTGGGGAATGTTTCTATGTAATGTACTGTAAAACCCATAAACCAGTCTCTAGATGAAAATTTATTATTATTATTATTATTATTATTATTATTATTATTGGATACCAGGAATCAAACTCAGGACCTTGCACTTGCCAGGCAGGTGCTTGTGCTGCTGAGCTCTGTCCCTGGCCCCTTTAGATGAAAATTTAGAGAAAAGGCTCTAATTATTCTCCAGTACATTCAAGTAGTCATTTGGTGTGAGCTCATGCAAACTTTTGCCAGGGGCCTCCGGATATTTTAAGGTTACAAAACAGAAATTACCTACACCTATCATAATTTGTATTTTTCCAGCTTTAAGGAAATAAAAACAAATTTTGTTATAAATTTACTTTATAAATAAGGCTTGGAACACAGTACCAAAATTGTTCACTGCAATTCTTGATATTAATTCCACTTTCCAACTTTTTAAGGCTCGAAGAAGTAAATAATGGTAGACAGAGTTCCAGATAAGCAATTTAGAATTTCTATATAAAAGGGAAGTGGCTGATGAGGGAAATATTTAGACCTAGGGAGTCTGTGGAACTGTTTCCAAACACCTTAAATCCAGAAAGATCTTTCAGTACAAGGACAGGCTGAAGGACAAACAACTATTCTGGAAAGTTTTATTGCTTTACACATGAATGATAAGATATAATTTTTTCAGTGGTTTAGAAATAAGCACAATAGTATTTCTCAGCTAGGTGAGTGGCTTGTGCAAATGCAACCTCAACCTGACCCTTGGGAAATCCAAGTCTAGGTTGTCGTCTGGAGGTCACTATCTGGATAAAGCCTGGGTATGAAGCCAATACATAAGAAGCTAGAGAGGAGGAAGTAGAGAAGAGAATGAAAGACCCAGTTCAGCTTACATCATTTCAGGCTTTGATTAGATCCACAGCCACTTCTGGACTTTCCTAACACATGAACCAGTAATTTAACATTTTAAAGTAAAATTTGCTTTAGTACTTATGGCTGAAACACACACAATGAGGACGCATCCACTTGAGGAATGAATCAGTGGGGAGGAAGAGGCAGCAGTTGCCTTAGCTGTCCAGTCCGTGACATCTACTTCCACCCCTAGTTATTCATATCATTCCCCTGGAGCAAGTTCCCTTGCCCTTAGCATTTTTATTAAGAAACTAAAAGAGAATTAAGTTTGCAGAACATTCTTATAACCTGAGAAGACTATGAAGTTCAAACTGATGGCCATCAACACAAAATGATCTGAATCCACGTCAAAAACAAGCCAGTTTCGACTCCTCCCAGGGTGCAGTTAGGCGGCTCCCCGTTGGTGTACAGACAGATCATCCAAAGTCTGTGGGCCTTCTTCGAAAGTGACTGAGAACACAGAGAAGCAAGTGGCCAAGTCCATCTACAGGGCGATCCGTCCACAGCTGGGCTGGCGCGAGGGTGGGAGGTGGGGGGTACCATTGGAAAAGATGTGGGTGTGTGCGCCGCAGGAGTCCCGATGGGTTCTTAAACCAGCAATAGCAGCAACACCTCAAAATACAGGCACTTTAGCGTTCCTTGTCTCAGCCACGCGGGTTAAATTCACAGGTGGTAAATGACTCGGTGTCTCTGTCCCTGTGGGATGGGAAGCTCTTTGGACGAAATGGGCTTTGAATAGAGCTCAGCGCCACAAGACACTCATCTGCCCTGCGTGGAAGGAGGCGGTGGCTGGAAGGGTCAGATGCCCTTGGACCTGACCGACTCTTGATGCAGCGCAAGGCGACCTGGAAGGAAGCCGACCTGGGGCAGAGAGGGGCCGGTGCAGCTCCGCAGACAGCCGCTGACATCCAGGGGCCGTGAAGAGCGGCGAGGGCGGCCCATTACTCACACCCACAGCGCGCGGTGCGGGCAAGGACAGAGGGTGGGCAAGGCCTGTGGGTGACAGTGGGGAGCCTGGGGCACTGGGCAGAGCCTTCCTTGCACTGCCTGGACCGCACAGGCTGTGAATAGGTGGCTTCTTGGGTCCTATGGAAGCTAACATTCTTGCTCAAACAGCCTGAGAAGAGCCTTCTGCAGCCACCCGCCTACCAGCCCCTCCTGGAGCAACGAAGCAGGAGAGCAGGAAGCGCAGAAAGTGGCCTGGTCTGTGGGCAGGGACTTTCACTGAGCCCTGTCCGGACTTGAGGCTGGTCATACCCGGCTTGCCCGAGAAAGGCTTCCCAGACTTCCAGTTATGCCTGACCTCTTCTGGATCCTGCCTCTTGAACTTTAAAGTGCTGATAAACCACTTGGAATCTTGGTGAAATAAATAAATAAATAAATAAATAAATAAATAAATATTAAAAATTAAATTAAATTATTAAAAAAACATTCTGGCCCAGCAGGCTGAGAGTCTACATTTCAGAGAAGCATCCATGTGGGTTGCAGTGCTGTTGCCTGCAGGAGCATCGAGGGAGAAGCTGTCTTGGGCGGCTGCTTCTCAAGTTTAGCGCGCTGAAGAATCACCGGTCCAGCGAATAAAGATGCAGATTCCTGAATTCCACCTCCAGAGAGGCTAATAAATTGCTCCAGGAGAGTCTGGACGGGCAAAGCCGGAGATTTTTTTTTTTTACTTCTATGAAATAATCCATGCAAAGTATGAGTAAGAAAGGAAGCAAGTTGGATTTTTCCAAATCATTTTACCTTCTGCCTGCTTGCACATTTTAATTAGATACTGGAGAAAGACTAGCACTGACATAAGGAAATGTGACCAGATATCATCACTGTTACCTGATGACAACATTGTCACTAACCTTAGGGTCAAGAGAAGGAAGCAAGTCACCTCGGCAGGGAGAGATTGTGACCAAATTGTGGGCCTTGTTGAGAGAAAACCTTCTCAGGGCAAAACACTTTGAGTTCTGAAACTTTCAAGCTACAAGTTGGTTAGAAGAAGGAGGAAGAGGAGAAAGAGAAGGCCAAGGGGAAGACAAAGAAGAAGGAGGAAAGGAGGAGGAGGAAGTGGAGGGAGAGGAGAGGAAAGACAAGGAAATCCTATGAGTTTGGGGAACATGGCAAAGAACAAGAATTTCCACATCTTAGGCTAAGAATTTCCCCAAATAGCAGTCTGGGCTGGGAAACAGAACTTTGCATTGCACGGATGGTTTCTTCTATCCTTGCACACACTTTGAATGACAATAATTAAGAGGCAATTCAATGATTTTTAAATTACCTCTGAAAGCCTTACAGGTCCACAGCTGTGTCACTAGAGCCCCTGTCAGAAGCAGCAAATTCAGTGTATCCTAATAACCTATCAGAGTGTCTGAGTTTTAGTTATATATTTATTTTAAAGGGGATAGCACATGACAGAATATTTGTAAAATAGATGCCACCATTAACAGCAAAACAAAAAGAAATATGACTGTGAGCAATAACACCATTTGAAAATTGCTGGACTAAATAGATGAATTATAAACTTCTGGGGCTGGGGATTTAGCTCAGCGGCACAGC